GATATACATATCTTCACAAAATAACAGCTCTCTAGTACTAAGTCTCGAAGCAAAACTGGCGACGGACAGACGGATAAGACGAAAGTCTTCCCCGCCCCCCACGACAGCGGCTAACTAGCCGAGGTCCGAGTCTCAGAGACGCCCTAGTTGAACCTAGTTGAATCTACCCCCTCAGGTTCGAGTGGTCTAGAGGCTCCAGACGGAGAGGAGACTCCCCCCGTGGGGAGATACCATCCGCCTGGAATATCTCTAGAGGCACTCGCCAAATCTCGGCTTGAGGTCCCCTTAGGATTTCGCCGTCCCCAAACACGGTGACGCTGTAAAGGTCATCTGCTAACAGCTACACACTCAAAAAAAGATGACGATACTATAAGGGTTCTTTGTCAGGACTACCGAACCCTAACAACAACACAAATCATTATCTAAACATAATCTAATCAAATTAAAATCCACCTTAAACGTTATGGCATTTGAAGGAAGTACGTAATACGAAACCAGAGATCAACCTTGTCAAAAATATCATTGAACAGAGATTATAAGAACTCAATATTGTACGCGTAAAATTATGCTCGTTTTAAATCGCGTGATTGCGTTTCAAGGCATGAGAAAGAGAAGCCAGAGTGTCTATTAAAAAAAAATTAGATATGTTAAATTGATGCGAATAATTTGGACGGCCTGGGGGCCATTCGCCTAACGGAAATGCTTTGGAAAACGCTAAGGCTTACGATTTCATTTTGTTATTTCTAGCCGCCTGAGGTATTCAAATGCCTCGCGCTCTTTTTTTTCTTTTGCATTGGTAATAACAATATTTAAAAAAATGAGCGCAAGGTATTTGAAAACCTTCGGCGGTCAGAAATAACAAAATAGAATCGAAAGCGTTACCGTTTTCCAAAGCATTTCCGTTAGGCGAATGCCCCCCCTGCTTGATCTAGTAAATAGTGATCCTAACTGCGAATCTTCCTTTGGGCTTAAATCCCAGAGGTAGCAAATTTTGGTCTGATAGTTGTCAAAGTGGCTAACGATATTTATTTATTACAACGTTTGCAAGGTGTCGCTCTCTCTAATACTCCTACTCAGAGGTCCTGGCTTCGAATCCCGTTGGGGCTTATATATATATATATTATATATATGTATATATATACATATATGTAATGGATACGAGCATGAGTACCTAAGTCGTGAATGTTTTTCTGTATCTCTTATCTATTAGACAAGTCCGTCCGTCCGTCCGTCTGTCTGTGGTACTGTTTCAGCGGCCAAACCGTAAGAGATAGATAAAGAGAATGTTTAAGTTATAAATTAAGAATAGTCTGATAAGACTACAAACCGGATTTGAGTAACGTAGCACTTCCGGTTTTCGAGAAATCACGAATTTCAAACGAAACCACACAAAATCTCCGAAGTTCTCATTTTTTTTTTTTAAATCAGGTTTTGGTGAACATTTGGTTCACTGGTTTGCTAGTTTCTAAATAATAATATACATAAATATATCAGTTTAAGTATTCTAACCGTTACCCTAGTATCCCATAACAAAAGCCTTACAGTGCTTAGAAGTTAGGGCTAGGCTAATTGGTGTGTGTTAGAAATATTTATTTATTTATTGCTCTGATTCGAAGATAAGTAAGTAAAGCGATTATACAACGAATAAAGGAACCCCTTTTCTTTTTCTATTGAAACAAAAACAAAACACCGTACCGGAAAACACGTGTATCTGATTCGCACAAAAACTAAAAACGCGGGCTGGACTGGAAGTGAAGAGAACTTTACTATAGTTTTTCATCTTCCACCTAACTTTCCGGGAAGTTGGTAAAACTACTAAAGGTTGGATAGAAAGGTTGGCGACTTGTTAGTTTTGTGACAAATCAGTCTAGGCTTTTTGTCTAAGTTGGAATCCAATGTTTAGTCTCCAATATTATTGTATCCAAGTTTTATAACCACGCGGTGAGTCCTATACCTTTCGCGCCGAACTTTAATCTTTACAGTTAATCCTCTAGCGATCACAGATTAGCCTTAACTACTTGACACAAGGACACGATTATATCCAAGACCAATACGTGTGTGGTTAAGTATATTGGCTCCAAGACCGCATTTTCGTATGAATGGTACCAAGTTGATATCGCAACATTGGCTAACAGCTCGAGTTCAACCAGCGCTTAATGTATGTTTATATTTGTCAATTCATATCATACCTTAAAAATCGTAATAGTTTACGAAGCGAAACTATACATCAATTTGAAATTAACAGTTTAGCACTAATACCTCGATAGTTCTTAATGAAGAACAAAGTTGATTACTAAAGAATGAAGAATAAGATTTATTACAAGGGAGCGTAAAAGTAAAAAGAAAAAAATCACCGAGCATTTAACTTCTTGCCAATGTTGCCAACGACTTTTACGCCCGGCCAACCAAATTGATGAGCCATTGATTAGCGCGGAGGGGATCGACTCGGGAGTTTTCCTATTTCACTTAATTGTTTTTAAAAAGTTTTGATTATCTCATTTTGTTTCCACCGTCTGTAACTATAGAAACTTACATTTAAATTTTTAAAATACGAGTATCAGGGACCCCTTTTTTTACGCAGGCAAAACCTCTATCTACAGACGTTGGTGCCCTTAAGGGTTACAATAACAAACAGACCTCACACCTAGCCTCTGGCAAGTCTCACGGGTGCGAAACGGAGAAGCCGTTAAGGAGTCCGCGCGAATAACGAGCGCTTCCGGCATACTATCTGCTTAAAAATCCTGCGAATGCCCTCACCGCTGTTAAGTGCGAATCCGCGAGATCTTCGTTGACGGATTTCACCTCATCTCTGCGCCTGACAGCTTCCCGACCTAGCCGGGGCTCCACGGACGTGCGTAGGACTTCCCTCGCGGGGAACTAAGTGCGCGGCCTATTGCCCACTGCACCGCTCCCTGTCCGCTGCTGAAGGACTCCCTAGGCGTTACTTTCGCAAGCCCTCCCACGGCGCTCTCATGTAGGCGACAGAAGGGGCGTATTTACCCTAGAGCTTAGAGGGCCATGGCCCAGGGTGGTAAGCTGCGAGGGGCGGCTGCAAGAGCTGTGAAGGGCAGCACAAGTCATATCAAAGCATTCGTTACTGACCTATATTTTGATTTGTTTTGAATTGATTTGCCTGGGGCGCCAGATAAGGACTATCAGGGGCGTATTTACCCTAGGGCCAAGAGGGCCTTGGCCCTGGGTGGTAGGCTACAAGGGGCGGCTGCAATAACGGTTAGTAGCGGCCCAAGTCATATCAAAGCATTCGTTACTGACCTTTATTTTGATTTGGTTTGCCTGGGGATTGCCTGATTTTGAAATAGGCCCCTGAACATTATCGACTGTAACAAACACGAATATTTCTTATATCTATCTGACAAGATTTTATAGATACTGATTCAGGATATTCCTTACTACCATGTTACCTACATCTATGTCGGCCAATCGACACCTTTTCCAAATTTACCGACCTATTAATAAAGCAATCACCTACCATATATTTAAGTATTATTTTGTATGAAACGTGTTATTACTGTTTACAAATGATACAAAAACACATAAAAACTTTATAGGTTTACTGTAGTAAACGGGCAACTGTAAAGTTAAGAAATAAAATAAATAATTTATTGTCTTATAATGTCTCTACTTTTCACACAGTTTATTATCTTTTAGTAAATTTTATAATATAAAAATCAATTACTTGTGATACATTTTGAACTAAATTTTGGAAAAAAATAAACTGATTTGTCTTTTGTTCGTTCGCCATTTCTCAAATGTCATATGGTGGGAATGAGTCAAAAGTTTGTTCTATCAGTTTGCAGACGTATAAATACATTAACACTAAAGTAATATAAGTTATTAACGGGATTGTTACCATGTACCTTGTTTTTAGCGAATTACTCCGTGATCATGGCGCTTGCAACAGTGCCGAAATATCGGAAACTCGCTAAAAACAAGGTACATGGTAACAATCCCGTAAATAACTTATATTACTATAATGTTCGTGACCATGAAAGTTTAAAACAATACATTAATAACAGATTTTGAAACGAAGTAGTTCATCGTTAATTAACGTTTTTCGAAACAATAATATTCTCACAGAAGAGATACAGTTTATTTTAATTATATAAACCGTTAATACCGCTCCAGTAAAACCTTGGACAGGCTAACTTCACGACCCTCTTGACATTGCCTCTAATAGCTTTTGTACGGCCATATTAATTTGATGAGGGCTATTGTAGATATTAAGGTATTTTTCGACCTCCTTTCTTACGCTATTCGACGTCGACGAAATATACAATACAATATCGAGCTCAATAAAATAATATAGGCCAGGTGCAGCAAATCATTTCAAACCTAAGCTAAGTAGTAAGTGTATTAAAATTATGAAGAAAGTTTATTATGTCTGAATCCAAAACCTGTTCCCTAATTTTGTTACAGTTAGATATTGTTAACCTGGTAACCTATGGTTAACCTGGATCAACCCACGTTTAACTGCTGTTATGTTAATGCGTAAAATACAGGTCTTTAAAAGTGCAGATCTTAAAAATGAAACTGGAAAAGTTTTAGAAATTCTTAAGCACTTAAAACCAATGTATGTAAATAAAAAGTGCTTTTTCCTAAAATAGAAATTGTGTTTATACGTTTTGTTTGTTATTCGGAATCTATGACAATTATTAACATTATAAAAATAAATTACATTACTTTGTTTCTGTGTCAGTGTTAAACAAAATATAGATAAAACGCTTTCAAGAACATAAATAACACTGAGGTCGTTATTCCATAAAAAAACAAGCTTAGTACTATGAGAACTCATGCAATATACGTAATTGTTAAGTCAGCATCATTAATATGACGAAGGTCAATATAAATCTTTCTATCAACAAACAAACGCACCTCATGAATATTGTAATTATCGTTGAAATAAACTGAATAAAATTATGACCCAGTAGATTCGTTATAACAAAACTACATTTGCAGTATCTTAATTAATTTAATACGTTCGATGGCAGTAAACTTTTATTAGGCTTGATTGTATGTACTACAGTTTGCAACCAATCAACTAACTATCTGATCAAAAAGCGCTTCAGTCTTTTGTTTTTGTCGGTAAGGCCATTAATCCACTAGACTGGATAAGTCTTTAACGACCCGTAGCATCGCATCTTCTGAATAACATCTGGCCGCCTGTCTTCTATTTTCTTGATTCCCTCCCGCAATTAGGGAGAGAGCAAGACTATAACCTCTTTTTCCTAATAGTTGCAGTCAATTTAATAACATTACAATGAGTGAAATAAATGCAAGATATTTTCTATTTATTTTAAATTGAGACTTTTTTTAATTTCATCCTAAATTAAATTGATATTATTTAATAAACATATTTCTGTTAAAGAACGATTATTTCTATTTTACAGATAGACTTGTGATCATGGATCCTGTAAATGTTCCATATGTCAAGAATAGTGTAAAATTAAATTGAAAGCAGCAATAAATAAGAAGTTATCGTAAAATGAGTTGCAAAATTTTACGGAGATAACTTACATACGAACAGTGCGAGTTATATTTAAGGCTTCGACACAATGGCATTAATTACCTATCTCATAAATATATAAAAAAATATAACAGACAACATTATAATTTTAATTTTGAAAATTTTATATTTGAATGATATTAAAAGATATATTTTTTCATTGTTCCAGATTCCTTGCCATCTGGTGGCCATTAAAATGCCAGATCACCAAACGCCGTGCTAGAATGATGATCGTCTTCATCTGGATCTTCGCCGTACTCGTCACTACACCCTGGGTCTTCTTCTTTGACCTTGTCGTGGTCTTTGAGGATGACCCTAACGTCCGTCTATGCCTCGACGTGTGGCCCAACCCCATTAGCGAAATTCTCTACTTCGTCATAGGAAATCTCATCTTCTGTTACATCCTCCCCACGGTCCTTATCACCATGTGCTACATCCTAATCTGGATCAAAGTCTGGAGGCGATCCATCCCAACGGACACACAAGATGCGCAAATGGAAAGGATGCAGCAGAAATCCAAGGTTAAAGTTGTTAAGATGTTGGTCGCCGTCGTGATCCTCTTCGTGCTGTCATGGTTCCCTCTATATCTGATCTTTGCGAGGATAAAACTAGGAGGTCCCATCCAAAAGTGGGAAGAAGACATGTTCCCAGTTGTGACACCTTTAGCGCAATGGTTGGGGTCTTCGAATTCATGCATAAACCCTATACTGTACGCTTTCTTCAACAAGAAGTACAGGAAAGGCTTTGTCGCTATCATCAAGAGTAGGAAGTGCTGTGGACGGCTACGTTACTACGAGACCATCGCGCTGCAGTCTTCAAGTACATCGACGAGGAAGTCATGGCATTATAACAACAACAACCATCCGTCGATCACTCGTAGGTCACCTCCGGTCGATAAGAACGCGGTATCTTTCATATTCAATCACACCGGAGTGTAAGGCCGTGCTGGCGCAACCTTGGAACCGGTTCTTCAATGAGCTACTCGGCTCCGCGTGTGGCATACGGCCCGCGCTCGCGTCGCGTAACTACGCATCTGAGCATATCCACACATACGAAGTTTTATAATGATCGAAGGTATGTTTTTTAAGTTTGATGTTGTCTTGTTCAAGAACCAAGTTTTTGATCTACGTGACTCGATCCTAGTAACTATTAAGTGAACATAATTATGTGGATGTTTTTTCTAGTAAGGTGATGTGTAACTTTTATACGTAAGACGGTTAATGTGTTGTAAAGTTTTATTTTTACACAGATTGTAATACTGTTTAGTGGTTGAGTGGAGAACGCACATAGCGCACAAATGTTTTAAGCAAATGGTGTTATTTTACGCATCCTGTTTTTGTATGTTTTCACAGGTTTAGTTTTCAAAATTTTAATGTTTAAAAAAAAATAATAAATCCCAAAAAAATATATACTTACACAAATAATACTACAGTACAAACATAATTTGTAGGAAATAAGCTTATCAAATTTTAATACTTAATAACATAATTACAGATATATAGCATTTACATCACTCGCAGTTAATCACGAAGTTTTTAAGATTTCAAACATTTGATAAATAAAGTTAAATAATCATCTTATTTATCTATATTGCTTATGCATTACACAAATCTGACATATTATTATTTCGAGTAATTAATTTTCATCACTAAGTTACGTCCGAAAAATTAAATTCATATCTTGATAGATTAAATAATTTCAAATAATATTTTTCTATAAGTTAGGTTTAAGTAGAAAAAGCAATAGTGAAAATGAACGAAGCATTTTAGAATTACTTTTAAACGCATAGATTAATTAATATTAGAAATCATTTTTATGCATAAGTATCACATTTATACATTTTTAGACTTTTAAATTTTTTATAGCATATTTTATTTATATTTTAGTGAAAAATCACTGATAATTCATCTTCCATCAGCAATTTTATAGTGTAATTGAAGTGAATATATCATTCGATATTTATCTACTTTTATAATAATATGTCATAGTGATTCTTTAGGGTTAGATTGCTGAATAATTAATGATAAACTATTTTTCGACTGCAGTCGGAAGCCGCTTCATGTGCACAAATACAAGTAATGATAATTAAGGACTTAAAGTTACCTTGTTATGCTTGGAGAAATAAAAATATTAAAATACATGGTAAAAATAATGTTTGTTTTCTACTAGCGTCAAATGTGGAAAAATGATTTCAATAATTCAAGCAATTACTGAGACTCAGCACGACTAACATCGTGGAATGGAAAGTGGAATTCAAGCTGTATTGTAGTTTTTAACATTTTTCTAAATGCTATTTTTCTACTCTTAGTAAAAATAAAACTTATAATTTTTCAACATTCTTATCAGAACAAAATAAGAAAATCTTCGTTCGTCTTACAATGTGAAATTAAATTAAAAATACTTTTCAATTATCCGATAAACCGTAGTCCCTTATTTTTGAACAAGTGAGTGATAAATTTAGTTAATTTTTGGAGTTCACAACAATAAGGATGGCGCTTAAATCGATGTCTGGGTCTGTACTAACTACTCAGTCAAGCGTTTAAAAGTATAGACATTTGCACCGCGTCTTCTCTGGCTATTTAATTATGAAATAACATACTGTCTAATGTTCAAACACGCTGGTAGAAAACCGTTGTATCCAATATATATATATATATATATTTGTATATTTAAAAATATCAAGAAAACAAGCAATATTCATATTTCTCGAGCATAATAATTAAGGAACGAAATTAAGAGTTTATTGTAATTCTAATTAGATTTAATGAAGAAATAATACAATAATCACAGAATAATCTACAAATAATGTCTCGAGAAAATATTTTTCTACTATGGACTTCTAAGTAATTAAATTTAGAGAATACAAAATTTTAATGAAACTCTAATGTAAAATTTCCGATTGTCATAACATGTTTTTTTTTCAGAATTATGTATTTGCATTTTAGTTTTGATGTTGTGCGAATTGGAGGAAGTCAAAGCTTGCAAGACTGAAGTTATTCGGAATAATCCTTATGAAGGAAACATTGCGTGATAATATTAGGAATGGATAATTATGGCATCGGAATTATTGTAAACATCGTTTCATAATATAAGAAATCTAGTGAGGTAGCTTTTTTATGTTAAAAGGTTGGCTAACAAGCATTTGGCTTGCCTGATGGAAAGCGGCCACCACGGCCTATAAACGCTCGCGATACCGAAAGTATTACTCGCACCGTTGCCTACACTGACCCGATCCCCTACCCCATGGAGCCCTAGAACCTCACTCTCCGACAGAAATACAATACCACCAAAAGGTAGTGGTATTAATTGACTGTGATTTTCTGTAAGGTGGAGGTACTTCCCCATTCGGCCAGGCTCCAATTAGAGCATAAATCTGATATATCCCTACTTTAAAAAAAAATCAAATGCGTCATGTACATTGAATAACCTCTTTTAGTGTCGCCGCACACGGGCCACCGACCACAACCACAAAACGCCGCCACCGGCATATTTCTTGTAGTTTTCATACATTTTATATGGACTCGCCACACACGGTACGCCGGTGGCCGCCACACACTACAAATCGTCGTTGCTCGCTTCTTGTGGCCCGCCCCGGCCACTTAATGCGCCGATACAAAACGCCGCCACACGTCACTCGCGCGATTCCCCACCCCTCGCTCCCTTATCTTAGTCGGCCGCTGTCGCGCGTTTCAGCCACTTTAGTAGCCGCTTCTAACTTCTCGTGGCGGCGTTCGTGGCTGTGGCGTGTGGCCCGTGTGCGGCGATACTTAATGTTTTCTATTTTAACTGAACGCATTTCGAAATGTTCTTATCACCCTACACTCTTTTGTTATCAAACTTCTATTAGAAGCTTCTATTTATTGATGTGTCTATTTTGATCGACACATCGTTGTAATTGTCAAAATGATGCCAATTTCAAAATATTTCCAATACAATGATTCAAGACTCGACAGGCAGTTGTAGCAAAAAAATAGCTGAATCCGATTCAAAAGTTTACGTCAGACAAGATCCTGATTGACGCCTGGATCGCGTGGATTTTTTGGTGTAAAGTCTTCGCCAGATTTACAAATGTAGTAGTTAAATGAAAAATATATATATATATATATCTATATATATATATATATATATATATATATATATATATATATATATATATATATATATATATATATATATATATATATATATATCTATATATGTGTATAATAAATTAATCGACACTGCTTATAAAATATGGCCGTGTCTTAAAAAACTTAGAGATCGCAGTTTTCTGCGACCCCGCGGTCGTCGCAGCTGCAACAACGCTAGTGAACTAAACAAAATGAAATCGGACGAGTCCCGCCGCGAGTGCCGCAAAAGCCCACGCACACGGCGAACATCAATCGCGCCGTGAAATTTGCATTTTATGCACAATCTCACATACTACCCAAGTTGCGGCGGGTACTGGTGAAAATCGTTGCGTTTGTTCTTTAACTTAAATCTTCAAATAAGTGATGGCACGCAATAAAAATCTACGATGTCGCAGTACGCATCTTCGATACTTCACTACTTCTTTATGTGGTGCTGCTGCGCTGCGATGGAAGTATTATTACGTTGTATTATCGCACTATAGTCACACTACTGTGACGTCACTGTAGCGTGACAAAAAAGGCCACGAGGTCTAAGTAGAGCTCTATAAGTAGGCAACGATGGCCAAACTTTTAATGGATTTCTGATGGAAAATATTATTTTAAGGAGATAATATTGTTATCTCACTCGATATTCATACACGATGTTTACAATAACTTCGGTAGCTGGCTAAAATATAATTCGACTATTTTTGTAGGTACGCCTATGGCTTTTTATATCTTTAGCTTGTGTAGTTTATTTTATTGTTCTTATCGTACTTGTGATAGTATTATTTTATTTTATTATTTAGTATACTACAAACATATTACTGAGAGGATTTAAGAAAAAAACATTCAAAATAAGAAAAATAGTGTGATTTTATAAAACCACTAGGTAGAATCTAAACAAAATCCCTAAAATATACTGCATTTTCCACACAGATTCTGAATGTCTATCAATTGACATGATGGTTTCGGAATTTTTTTCTGGCTCAGCACTATTGTGTTTGGAAGACAAATCAGGCCTTACTATTTCCAAGTGCAGCATTTACGGGGTACATCTATTTCCCAGCGGGTCGCAAAAAAATTATATCTTTTCAATGTATCTTTTATGTACTTGGCAACCTTAATATCATATTTGATATTTTTTTTAATAATTTCATGTTTTTATATGCTAGCAACTCCGAGATACAGCATATACATATATTAATTCTGGTACTAAAGTATTTTGAACAATTAATAATTTACAAAAAAATATAATTTTACATTATATAGATTTAACAAGTAAAGACAATTGATACAGATCCACTTGTTGATCAAACATCCCGCATAAACTATAGGACAATAAAATTCAGATTTGATTAAAAACTGTCTTTCAAAAATTCTGATAAAAAAAAAGTATTTGGAATAATTAATTACAATTTACAGGAAAAGCTTATTTACCCAGATAAATTAATCTCGTCTACTTTTGACGTAACGGTCTCCCTCAGAAATTAAAAGACAATAAGATTTTAGATTTTGATTAAATACGGATCTGTGTTATTCTTTTCCAATTTTTTTCAATTTGACGACCTCCGTGGCCGAGTGGTTTGTACTCCGGGTTTCATGGTGTCGCCGACTCGAGAGGTCCCGGGTTCAAATCCCGGTGGGGGCAGATGTTTGCGTGATGAATACGAGCATTTGTACTCCAGTCATGGATGTTTAATATGTATTTCTATAAAAATATACTTATATATGTGCAGTTTATGTATTCTATCCGTTACCCTAGTATCCCATAACACAAGCCTTATAGTGCTTATTTTGGGGCTAGGCTAATTGGTGTGAGTGTTGGAAATATTTATATTTATTTATTTAAATTACTAAATCGAGGTCTGTGAATGCAGCTGATCACCTCTCAGTATAATGTTTGACCATTTTTATGTATTTTTTTACAAATTTTAATGTCCCCTTTTGCCATTAGTAATTTCATGCTTTCATTAGCAGTGCAGCGCACATAAAGATATTAACAGCGAATTTTTCAAATAAACTGCACAATTTACGACAATTATTGTATTTTCTATTTTATTTAAAGTTTATTTTTTAGCTAACTATATTGTAATGATACTATACAATGTAGAAACTATACCTTAGTATGTATTTATTGTATACTATGAATAGTGAATAATGTTTTTTTTTTATAAATTAAAAGAAATGCGTATAATAGATCGTCAAAAAATTACACTTTTTTCCCATTAATTTTTGTGTTTTTGTGATGGAATCATAAGATTTGTTGATAAACAAAAATTAATTTATACAATTATTGTAAAAACTATCTTTATTACCTATGTTGTAAATGTAAATACTATGAACACTTAGTCCATAAAATTGAAATATTAAGTGTAATGTAACTATTGTATATTTACACAGCAAAATATAAAAATGTTTGTATGTTTGTGAGTACACTACCTATAAATATAATATGATATACAAAGATTGGATAATTTTCAAATCATGTAAATA